CACAACAAATTGTATGTTCTGTTGTAATGCATGGGCTCATTTGCTAGACACGGTATGGCGTCCGGTTCCAAACGCATCCATATCGATCGACATTTAAATAAACACATGAGCCACAAATTATCTAGGTGACTGCACAATAAGTTGTACGTTCTTTTACAACACACGGGCACATTTGTTAGTAGAGCAGAACAATCACAACCTACGGCGGCAGTGTCTGCTTAGTCCAGCTGATCAGGGCCAGCATTTACAAGTTCTTTCCAAATAAGTGTATTGTCAAAACATATTTTATGGAGAAATTAACTAAATTAATCTGATGTTTTAAATGTTGATACATCTTTCTATAAAGTTGGTTAAAATTAGAGAAGTTTGAATTAGAACAAAACTAAAGTGACCTATAAATTGATATGGAGGCTGTACTTATGTTATTGAACATTATTTGTAGCCCAAGCGAAGTGATCTGGATATGAACCACCACGTCAACAATGTCAAATACGTGAGGTGGATGCTTGAGGTAAAGAAAATCGATTAATTTTCTACTGTGCCATAACATTGCCTTCACGTATTACTTACTTCTGGTATAACAGCTGTGCTGGTGAGAAAAAGAGGCATCTTATAGTTACCTCAGTATAGAAACGGTCGTTCTCCTTTTATGTAGGCTATAAGAGCAACTCTATAAGGGATTTAGATTTCTTATATTGCAACTCCTATAAATTGTTTTAGAAGAGTACCTAAAATCAATTTAGAATATAAGAGAGCATTGTTTTAGCAAATTACCTAAAACTTGTCTCCTTTATTTTGGAGGAAGGAGATTGTTTTTAGGATCTCTCTTAAAAATTATAGGTACATTGAGATGAGATAGGTTGTACATCACTTTCATCTCCTAAGTTGCTAGTTTTTAGGTATAAAAGTTTAGATAAGATATCTTGTGGAGATGCTCTAAGTAATTTGTTAAGAAGCGGCCATCACGTGTAGTAGCATGTTAGGTATGTCTGTTGTTTCTTCGAAAACATAAGGTGTTTTTGTTTTGTTCTAATCTATTTTTTTCTCTAATCTTTAGAAAAAATATTAGCATGTGCAATACCAAATAATACACTACCAAGACATGTATCATTATGGTGGTTTTTAATAAAAACTAATTTGATGTCATAGGCATTAATATATTTTTCTATAAATATGGTCAAAGTTAGAGAAGATTGGCAGTGAGTGTGCGCGTGTGTGAGAGAGAGAGAGAGAGAGTATGGCTCAAGCACAAGCACAAGAATATCTCTAATTACATACCTCTTTTGTGTTATGCAGACTCTTCCTGATCACTTCCTGCAGCAGAACCAGCTTAGCAGCATCACCCTGGAGTACAGGAAGGAATGTGGGAGCTCAGATGTTGTGCAATCCATTTGTCAACCTGATGAAGACTCAATTCCACCACAAGAAAATGTCAGTATGGTCATTGGACCTTCACTTTCGCCGGAAATCATCAGTGGCCACCACAGTTTGGCAGGTGCACTCCAACAGAGTCCAATGAAGTACACGCATCTTCTGCAACTGAAAGCAGGTGACAAGTACGAGGAGATCGTGCGAGGGAGAACTACGTGGAAGAAAAAAACATATAAAGCTCCCTGATGTGTGTAACGTGCTTTCTATACTGTGAAAAACAAAAAAGGTTGGATTCCACTACTATTTCGTAGTTAGTCATACCTTCTTGGTCGCAATTACTCTGCAATCAACTGCAGAGAAGCCTCAGGAGTCTTCCTGGTGATATCAACCATACAAAAATGATGTTTTTAAATCATCCTCCATGTGATTTTCCTTGTATAAAGCAATTAGCAATCTACCAATTGTGTATGAGGGCCAGTTGCTGCCTTCACTTTTATCTCTAACTACACGTTCGCCCCATTAAAGCCTCATTCGACGGAGCTCAGACTCATCCGCGTACTGTAATAGGAAGCCGTTTTTGTCTATTTTATCAGAATGAGTTAGGGGCTGATAAAGCCACTATTCTTTTGCATCACCATTGTTGTTAATATGAACATTGTCTTTGCCCTGTGTGTTAAATTTGGATACTTTATTATAAGCATATGTATACATTTGCCTTAAAATGTAATCCCTTCGTCCTGAAATAAAATGTGTCATAGAGATTTTAAGAGAGATTAAGTGAGAGCATAAAAGACACATGTATCTTGACTTTATTTCCTAATAAAGATGTGTCCGCATGATTAAAGGTGGATTGCTTTATAAATGATGGGTAACAATATGATAATGATAGGACACCGGCGTCCATCCATCTGGACATCGCGTACCCACTCCGCCTCGCTGTTGCCGCGCTTCCCCTACTGCGCGCCACTCGCTCCTCGCCCCCGCACGTCACATGCCCCACCGCGCCTCTCGCTCTGGGCGCGCCCCTGCTCCCTCTAGTGCGCGCCTCGACCGGGCAGCCGCCGGGCTGGCCGTGCCGCGTCACGCCTGGGTTGGCCTGGATGACCGCCGGTGCCGCTCACCGGGGACAGCGCAGCCGCTCACTGGGGGGCCGCGTAGTAGCCCGACTGCTGCCATCCTCCTCCACCGCGACCTAGCATTGGATCGCGCTGTGCAATGCTCCGCCCACCCACCCGCCTGCCAGGCTTTTCTGAAAGCGCATGTTTCAAATGTTTTAGATATTTTAGAGGTATGTTGCAAGTATTTCATATGGATGTTGCAAAAGTAGATCGAGATGTTGTATATGTTGCAATAGCTATACATTATGTTGCAAGCTTCTGATCCAAATATTTTATCTGTTTTTTTAACTTATCTTGTAAGTGTGTTTATTTGGATGTTGCATATGTTTCACACATGTTGCAAGTGTTTTATTTGGACGTTGCATATGTTTTGGCAATGCTTTTTTCAAGTGTTTTAAGGTGTTTTTGCAAATATTTTAGACGCATGTTTTAAGTGTTTCATCTGTCTTCAGACATATGTTGCAAATGTTTCATCTGGATGTTTCAAAAGTAGATCCAGTGTTGCAAATGTTGCAATGGCGCCGGTGGGTGGTGGACAGCGGCCTACCACACCTTTCTCGCGTGGCGCGCCTTGCCGTGGCCTCTCCTCTCCCTCCCCTCCCTTCCATTCCCTCCATCTCGTCAGGGCAGTTCGAGCTCAACCTGGACGCAGAGTTTAGCGGCGATGGAGCGGGATGGGACACGGGGCGGGGGCGTGGTGCGATGCAGGCGACAGTGCTGCGTACGGGATGCAGGGCGCTGGCACGAGATGGACTCGGGAGCTGCGTCCGGACACGTCGTCCATCCGGGCTCTAGCCCTTCCAGTAACAATAATGTTCCTATATAATGCAAAGTTGTCCATTTGTCTCCCAACCCCTTGTACCCTGTCCATTTCAAATTATAAGTCATTCTGACATTTTTGTAGAGTCAAAGCATTTCAAGTTTGACCAAAATCATAAAGAGAATTACAAAAAATTATGACATCAATAGGTATATTATAAAATATAATTAATAAAAAATCTAATTATACTTACTTGGTATCATAAATGTTATTATTTTATTATATAAATTTGGTTAAACTTAAGATGCTTTTACGTTACAAGAAAGTTAGAATGATTTATAATTTGGGATGACGAAACATAATTTTTGAATGCTTATACAGGAGGAAGCACGTTCGTAAAACTGCTATTTTCTATGCTTATGTAGAAGCGTTTTTTTTTATTACTTACGCAAGTACAAACGCAGACGCTCAACCAAAGATAATAGTAAAGTTATGTTTTGGGGACTGGTGATATAAAAAACATTAACTTCTACTTACTTGTGACCTGAGGAAATGCTAATCTCCATCTGTTTGAACAGTCACAAATCTTTTCCATTAGAAGGAGTCAGTTTCCGAGGTCCAAACAGAGGCTTCTATGAAATTTCAGTAAAGGATCCTACGCGCCCGATAGTCCCGGACACATGTTCATGCTACTGAACTTTTGAGACTGTAGTTTTGGAGCTTTGCATTCCTACGCGTTGAGGGGGAAAAGACCAATGGACGATGCATCCACACACAGCTCAGCACCACAGACCAACGGAGGTCGCTTTTCCTGAGAAATCCGGAAGGCAACAAAGACAAGATCTCAGCTGCTGACAACTCCATGTCTCCATCAGAGGTCAGCACTCAGCACCCAGCGGAGTCCAAGTGTGCTGCAATAATAGATCACTGCTCGTTGAGCGCCTTGAAATGGTCAGTGGTCAGCATGAGGAAATGGTCACCTGCTAGACTTTTGTGGTTAGTAGCCGGTAAAACTGGTGTACCTTTCCTTCTCGATCTTTCAAATGGACATGCTAATCCAAAGGCAAAGACAGTTTAGTTGACCAGGCGATTCAGGCTTATCGACTACTCTTTGTCAAAAAAAAAAGTGTACATCTCGCTTTTCGATGTGTCAACTTTGTATCTCCAAAATATGTTTAATATGAAAACTCACGTATACGTTCTACCTGACAGGGTCCAATGACACTGAGCTAGCACTGAGAGAAACTAATAATAAGATGGACCAGCTCTATTACACTATGCCAAAAGAGCTAGTTAACCAAATGAGATTAGTATGCCAGTTCATGCAGACAAGCTAGAGCTGCAGCCCTTTGTATGTGAGACGCCAGGGACAGGGATATCACAAGTGCATTCAGAACATCCATGGCCAGCAAAAGATCCCGGTACCTAGCTATTCCATGTGCCCTTTCTCAAAGCGTGGAGCACCCGATAACGATAATCGATCGGAAATGAATGGAAGTGGGCCAAAAATGGGAGACACTGATTGATGGTATCAATACATACAGTAAATTAGAGGAACATGGAGTATTTATTTTACTGTTTTTACTCAAGTATACCACAACGTGCAAACACAACAAATTCCAGGACCAGTAGCTGAGTACTCCCAAGTCCCATCCAGGGGCCTAGTACCATCGGTCCATCTGTCCGTTGCCAAATTGATCTGTGTCTCGTATAATAAAAGACTAAACATAATTTAAGCATGATGGCATCAGTTAACCGTCCTTCTCTTGAGAGGCATTTAGACGACTCTTGAACCATGACTCAAGATAAAGTAGCTCTTCTTTGGAAAGGGAATGACCCAGATCTGGATATGCCTGTAAAAATGCACACAATAACTTCAGATCTTGGGTACTGAATATTCAGAGCTCAAATAGACATTGAAGGTCCTTTGAAGTGAGAGAAAAGGGGGCATTATAGAAATCTACCTTGAATTCACAGTTAGCACCCACACTTTGCAAAAATGGTGGACCAGCTTGACCAGCTTCAAACAATACTACTTTGTCAGCCATTCCATGTGACCAAAGAAATGGGGTCTGAAATGTTGAAAGAATGAGAAGAATAGTCAAATAAACTAATGATCATATTAAAAATTCAAATTTGTTTTCAAACTTATATTCCTACAGCAAAGAGTTCATTTAAGCTTCTTCAAAGCTGACTGAGTGCAAGGTAAGTGCATCTGTCAATGGCCAAAATCTGTTTGCTACTTTTTTCAAGTCAATCAACCAAAATCTGTTTGCTAGTTTTTTTCAAGTCAAGGTCTGCAATCTGCCTGATTTCATCCAAAAAAATTCATTATGAAAAACTTCCTGACGAGATCCTTAGATGTGTAATATGCAAATATAAAATCAGATGTGTAATTTAATTTCCATCATGCAATGTTTGATCCTTCTTTCAGGGGGAACAGAAGGGGAAGGCCCTACTGAATATATATATAACTATATATATAATAATCATAACTCCCAGGGTAAATAAGAGTACAGGACCAAGGATTGCAAGCTCCATAAGAATAGCAAAGACAAAATAAGCATAGATGTCTTCAGAACCACCTTTAGCAAGTGATCAATTAATTAGCTATTCTGAATCTAAATAAGCATATATTCTCTGAAATCCTCTCCTTCAGCAAGATCCTGTTCTCCTCTTCCAATGTTCGATTTATTATATTTGCCATTATAAATAACCTTTTTCCCCTATCTTAATTCCTATCACCAAAGTCCTAAGATGGGGCATATATTCCTTTCCCTCAACTTGAGCCTACTTGCATCAAACTTGATATGTAAGGTTCGTCCATATTACATATATTGAACTAAAACCATACAACACTGATCAGTAGCCGGTGCTATACGTACATGCAATGTGCTTCTGCAATCAAACTAAGACTGGAAAGAATCTTTAAATACATGACTGTTCCTGGGGGTGGCCACACCAGCATAGGTACAACGTACATGTGAGTTAGTTCAAACAAAAGGTAACGGTAAGGTACCAAAGGTCAAGCATCACCAGTCTTGTCATTCAGCAAAGTTACCAACCTATATATATCTAAGCACCTTGCACCTTATTGCACACTAAACTAAAATGAAGATACAAAGGGATGAAAGTATTGATTACCTTCCTTGCTTCAGGTGAAATCTTCTCCGTGACTGATGAGCTGAAAGGCACCCACCCACTGAACACTGCTCCTCCACCTAACTTCTTCGGATAAAGCAAAACGCTAGCTAATGTTAGAGCACCTGCAGAGCAACATTCTACCACTTAATTTACAACACTTCCAAAGTTTTATCCTCTAAATAAAACTACCAATTTGATGTATCAATGCTCTTCTTACCTCCTTGACTAAATCCACAAACAAATATGTTCTCAGGGTGGATGCCGTCGGCTACTTCCCTGTCTATCATGGCGTGCACCTTTTCCACAGCCTTGAGAACCCCAGCCTCATCTTGCGGAGAGCCCTACTCGTTCAAAATTTCAGTTAGATCAAAATTCCAATGCCACGTTGGGCTATTTGATTACTGATGGTATGGAGTGAACTCACACCGCTCATGGGAAGCTCGTGGATATCGAACCACGACGGCATCACAAAACCATTTGCCGGGGGGGGGTTCTCCTTATCAGCTGACGTTGACTTGAAGCAATTCTACAGGACCTAAAGAATAGGAGGCGGAGGAGGAAGCTCACTGTTGCAGGAGACGGGGGCGCGGGGAGCGGAGGGGAACGACCACCTGGCGAGGCGGAACTCCGTCGCGGAGAAGAGGTTGCGGATGGGCTCGTTGGCCGGGTCGGAGTCGCCGAGGCCGTGCAGCCACAGCACGAAGCTCCGGTTGCGTCCCGCCATGTGGGAGGAGGGGACGAGCTTGGCCGGAAGCCCGGGAGGCGGCGCGCGGCGGTGGAGTGAAGCGACGAGGAGGGAGGCTGCGGCGAGGGTGAAGAGGAAGCGGACCCGGCTACTCATGGGTCATGGGCCGAGCCGGCCCGAAATGTGTCGCTGAGAACTTGAAGCAGTAGTTGGGATTTCTTTTTCTTTTTTATTTTTTTAAAAAGGTAGTATCAGTAGAAGTTAGTTGTGCCAAATCTCAAAGGTAGTAACTTTCCAAAAAAAAAAACTCAAAGGGAGTAAATTTTTGAGTGGTCCTTAAACTTGTCATGGTTCCTATCTGAAGCATGTCCCCCTAAATTTGTACTAGTACTAGTATACCTTTTAATACGGCATATATATATTTTTTTAAAAATAAAAATCCGGTCTTCAATTTGTGATTTCCGAAAAAATGAGTGTTAATTCAAGCATCTTTTTATTTTCAGAAGGAATGATTCAAATTCAAAGACACAAATCACGATGGAAGTCAACATAAACATTTCTCGGATCACGTTACAACTCAGGAGGCATTCAATTCCTTCCTTTGGCGCCCTCCTATAAAAGCCATTCACGTGGTGATACAAACTCAATTTGATCTGATGGCATTTTTTTCCCAAAAATATGAAGGAGATTAAGAGCGAGTTTTAAGTTCGTCACAACGAGAACTGATGTGCCACGTAAAGATAGCAGCCATGAGTTGTATTTGAAACTATGCAATCACAAACAACACAGCTATTGGGGATCCTTGTGGTTAGACGACGATGATGGCCTTGCGGTTTCAGTTGCTCCAGAGACAGTCATCCCTAGACGATTCAGGATCCATTGCTGAAAGTACTGGAGCTCTTCATCAACCATTGAATGTCCAAGGGTAGGATAAGCCTGATTAGATGATTGGGAAAACAGACAAATAGCTAAAGTCAGGTATGTTTGAAAACGAGCACAAATGTTTGCAGGACCACTTGGGAGGAGGCGAAATGTTTTATTTTTAAATAAAAGTGAGCATTGACTACGGCTTCGTATATACTTTCCTCTATTACCTTGAATTCACAGGACATACCAAGCTCCTCTAAAAATGCACACCCAGTATGTCCTGCTTCAAATAGGACCAACCCATCTGCCATTCCATGAAACCATAATACCGGCGTCTGAAATAAGAGTTCATATTTAGGTTTAAGAGTCAAGAAGATGCAGTTCTGAACATAAGCATGGCTGCGGGTTATTACCTTTCTAGCGTCAGATGACACCTTTTCAGCGAACGATTTATTAAGTGGAACTGAACCACTGAAGACAGCACAACCACCTAAAGTTTTTGGGTAGAGTAGAACACTCGCTATGGCTAGAGCGCCTGTGAAAACGAAAGAAATAATAATATGTATTGATTCTATCTTATGCCGTCTAGGCAACCGTGAAGACGCAAGACCACCTCCTAGGTCATAAAGCTACGTCGATATTGGTTGTTTCTTTTTATGTAATACAAGAGGTCTTTTACTAGGATGGTTCAGCTCCGGAAGTGCGGCGTCACGAGAGAGAAAGAACATGTGATGCGGCGAGGCCCATGGATCATCAGTTCATCACGAGGAAAAGAAGTAAACATCATAGGGCTGGCTGGATCGATGGATGGTAGGGCAGGTGCTGCGGCGCTCACCGTAGCAGGGGATGGAAGCCGTGGGCGCGGTGGGGAAGGACAGCCGGACGGAGGAGGCGGTGTCCGGGGCGGAGAAGTATGGCGCGACCTGCGCGCGGCTCTCATCGCCCGACCCGCCTGAGCCGTGCAGCCACAGCACGAAGCCGCCGGCCGAGGGGCGCTCCGCCGCCGCTGCCATCGAGGCGTTTACTTTACTGGCTCGTTGGTGCCAGCGAGTCGGTCGGGGATTCGGGGGATGGGAGTTGGGAGTGCCGCCGCCGGAATCAGCCCGCTTTGTTGGAGAACAGATCAGAATCGTCCGGCGATCGATCAGCGTCATCGGATCGTCTCTTTCCTTCCCCTTGGTGGCGTGTGGCGTGGGAAGTGCCGCCTGCGCGATGACGATTGCGCCATTACGGCCGCGCGCGTCGCGTGTGCGCGTGGTGATTGATGGTGATGGGCTTGATCGTGATGGCCCGCTCGCGCTGAGACCGGATGGTGGCCCGCCTGCGCGTCCATCCGACGAGTGCAGGTGCAGCCCGTCCCCGTCTGGCTGGGCTCGGCAACCCGGATGCTTCGATTTCTGATCCGGACAAAACAACCGGCAATCCATCGATCTCAGAAGAGCAAACAGTCATTAGCGGAAGCCTGAAGGGCCTGCAGGCAGCAGGCTGCAGCACATGCACATCATATGACACAACTGAAACAGCAGAACTTTGTTTTCTCACAATGGGGAACACTAGTTTCATTACCAAAAAGGCAAGTAAAGAAATCACAACAAGGTTTATCACAGCAGTAGGAACAAGAACAAACAAAGCAGCAGCGGCAGCTATTTGGAGAAGAGGTTGAAAACCCCGCAGAACAACAAAAACTTGCTCTTGCTCCTCGTCCCCGTCGCCGTCCCCTGACGGCCACCCTTCTCCCCCGGGCCTTGTCGTCCGTGCCCATGCTTGCCCTCGCAGTGCTCCAGTTCGTACGGCGCCAGTGTGTGCCCGAGCCTGTCGTATTCCTGCGTCCGAATTCGCAACAAGGTCAAACAGATTCTGCTTAATTGGAGAAGACATGAGCCAGAACCTAGCTTGTACCTTGAACTCGCAGCTCATGCCGAGTCCTCGCAGGAACTTCACCCCGTCTCGCCCTTCCTGGACCGGGATCAGCGAATCGGCTCCCCCGTGGATCCACAAAACAGGCGTCTGCACTTCATTTCATACGCGATGTCACTGGATCATACGCAAATACTCCGTACTAGATGAAGGGCACGTTTGCAGCAGTGATCAATTGATCATACAACACAGTGGTAGAAGTTCAGTGCTACTAGTACCTTCTTTGCTTCGTCTGTCAACCTGGCAGCAAAGGAGGAGGAGGAGTCGAAGGGGAGGAAGCCACTGAAGACTGCGCAGCCGCCCAGAGCCTTAGGGTAGAGCAGCACGCTTGCTATGCTCAGGGCGCCTGAATTTGCATTGCAGTATGATGAATCCGTGTAGCTTACCACGGTCTACTTCAGTGTTGAGTCACATGGAAAATGCTGATCAGAATGAAAGGAAATACAGGCATTCTATTTCTACTACCTCCTTGGCTGAGCCCAAACACGAACACGTCTCCCGGGTCTGTCCCAGCCGCGATTTCCCTGTCGATCATGGTGTGCACGATCTGGACAGCTCTCAGCACATCCTCCTCATTCCTGACGGATTTCTTCACGGCATGCGTGCGTGCCCAACATTGGAGTATTAGACCATGAGCATCCACATCCATCATTAGCACATGTTTAGTGTAGCACCACATTATCAAATCTTGGATCAGTCAGTCTTAATAGATTCTTCTCGTAAATTAGTCTCCATTTGTGTAATTAGTTTTATAATTAGCTCATATTTAATCCTCCTGATTAGAATCCGAATGTTCGATATGATAGGACTAAACTTTAGTCAGAGAACCAAACACCTCAAGGTCCTGTCTAAAGTTTAGTCCCTGCCACCACAGCTATAGCTACTACAGCAAACAACAAAACAAGCGACATAACGAATGCAATTTACTTCGTATATCATTCCACTTAAAGGTCATGTTTGATGTATGTGTTGGAGTGAAATATAATAGAATTTAGTTCTTCAATCCACGTGGGTTGAAGTGAAATAAAATGAAATTTAATTTAATTCTACTTCAATCCACTTTAACACACATAGATTGACATAAATACATGCGCTTCAAACGAGGCCTAAGTATGGGAAGAGTGTAAGAAGAAGCCGAAGATGTGACACGAGCGACAGATCGATTTTGGCTTACCGAAGTAATGGGCGTGTCGTGGATGTCGAACCACGAAGGCATGCGCATGCCACCTGCGAATTTAGCACACGGAATCGCGGTCAGCAGCAGCAACGAGGAGCAAGCAGTGGCACGAACCGAAGCCGGAGGCGTCGTGAAGGCGCAGGCACCGACGGTTGCATGTGACGGGGGGGGGACGGTGGGGAAGGACCAGCGGGCGTCGCTGAAGGCGGCCGCGGAGAAGTGGTCGGCGATGAACTCGTTGGCGCGGCCGCAGTCGCCCAGCCTGTGCAGCCACACCACGAAGCCACCGGACCCCGCGGCGGGCGTGCGCTCCTCCTCCATCTGTCTGAGTCTGAGCTCAGGGACGGAGACGACGACGCAGCCCTTGATCTTGAGGGCAGCGATCAACAGGTGAAGATGGTGAATCTAGTCTCGGTTCGTCCTCCTCCCCGTAAAGCAACATCATAACCACCATGCTCAAGTGAACTTTCCACGGCGAATTGACTTTGACCAAACCAACTGCATACCATCGCATTCGCCTTTTGCTTAATTACCTGATTTTGGACATGTGTATATCCACCTACTAGAGGACATGTACGACAACAGCTTTTATTTACCAAGATCAAGATTACGGAGACAATAACAAGGCAGTACAGTACAGCTTGCCAAAGAACAACCATCAGAACAAAAATTAATGGTAATACACGCGTACATTTCCTTTATTCAGCTCTTCCTATGCCGGAATGAGATCTTACTATTCTAGCAGTGTACACAGTCCAAACTAGGATACCACGAATGGGTACTTTTTCATCATATAATCCCAATAGAGAAAGCACAAACAACCGGTCTGCTTCAAAACAGACGCTTTATTCTTCAATATACTCAGGTATTCGTAGGTTAATTGACGGAAGTATGTCTCCTTAAGGGCCAAACAGACTGATGTCTTCTCAGTCCTGATCAAACGATTGAATATGCTCAATGACTTGCTCGATGCTCTCAAATTGGCGTCTTCCCTTGAGGATCGTCTTTGCACAATGGAGGGCAGCACGCTCGCACTCTGCTCTCCTGCTGGCATCCTTAATTGACTCGAGATCCTCGACGTGAGCGATTCCGACTATTCGCCTACAAACGGAACAACAAAATTTTGGAAACAATATTCAGGTTGGAATGCAAAACAAAATGTGGCTTATAGTTCTTGTGAGAAGGCATTGTCATTTGGAAAAGTGACGAGCAAACATTTTGGAAATTATATACAAACTTTTTACAGCACAGCATGCCTAAATAGCCCAAACATAACCATTTTTTACTTCTCAGTCGCTTTTCACCAAAGCTGACTTCAGAAACTTTGGTATATGACACAGTTGCACCAAAAGAGAAAGGTGCTACATCAAAACTAAAATCCAAAATCTTTTTATTATTTGACCTGAGTATGGTTTTGTCATTTCAGTCAAAAAGGCAGTTATTATATCTCATAGCAGTCCACCAGTTAGTAAGAGAAAGTGATTTTATTTAGAAATATTCTCTTTAAGGAAAAACATTATTCACAAATCTAATCTGCAGTTACCTGATCATTTTGGCCGAACCAAACCCAAGGCCATCATGGAATAGGTTTGTCATGTACTTCTTCTGAGCAACGCTCAAAAGCTTTGAGTTGTTGTATATATCAGGCAGGTACGCCTCCCCATTCCCTTCTTTATGTTTATTCCATAGTTCAACGAACTTTTTCTGGAATAAATTCCACGACTCTTCAATTGCCTTCAAGATCCATTTCTTGTAAGCCTGCAAAAGATAGGCAGCACTTAGTTCATGCCCAGAACATCAAAAAAAGTTAAGTTTTGAATGCTGCATGTTGAACATGCATCATGCTCTATGACAAACTGACAATTCTGCCACAGCCATTAAGTAATGCTACTACTGAAGATGCCATGAATCATGAAGTTAATCAATGCAAGGCACATTTTGGGCTGGTATACTTTTGTCTGCCAAGTACTATTCTCTTTATGCTAAACATGTCAACTTTGATTATCCCCAGGTATCAGAAAAATCACTATCTCTCATGTAAGACATTAGCATCATACTCCAAACATCTATCCATCATAAAAGTAGACCAAAAGTAGATTCTGAAGACATTTGGCTGACATTACCTTAGTAACTCAGAAACAAGCTAAACTACACAAAGCAGCCCAACTACGTTTGACATACCAAGAAACCATAAGAAGAGAAGAATTTGGTATGAATAGAAGCGAACTAGCCAAGTACAAGGTATGAGTAGACCATGTACTACTACTATTGAAGTTATAAAGTGTTATGTGGTTGCTAGGATTGAGAAGGAGAGAGAGCTGAGGAAGAGGCGGCGGCGGGCGGGCTACAGTACCCGCGCGCTACAGTACTGAGGGTGCTGTTCATGGCTAGGGCTGCGAGGATGAGGCTGGAGGCCGGCTAGGGCCTTGCCCACGGCCAAGCAAGAGGGAAGGGATTTCCTTCTTAATTCTTGCTCGATTAGATCAATACATCTCATCTCCTTATATAGAGAGGTTTACTTGACCCTTAAGTAAGCGACCCTTATCTCTAATTAACCTTAACACTAATGGGCTATACAGCCAACCTAGGCCCAATAGACCCCTGACGTACTCTAACACTATACCCCACCTGGACATGCAGCTCGTCCTCGAGCTGCAACCTAACGAACTTATAACGCTGACTCGACTCCTAACACCTAAAAAACAAGTCTTTTACATCTTGGCTTATTTTATTATTGTTAACATGAAATGGACTGAGACTCTTTATTTTTGACTCCTGAATATAAGGTGGACACCATCCGCACGTTAAACCTGCATGTGTACAGCCTCCTGGATCCCATGGACACCATCTAGACGAAAGGGGTACATGTGTATGACCACCTGGAAGTGATCGCAACAGCGACCATGCGACGGCGCTACGCGGTGCGCTCTCGCTGTTGACCCCACGCCTTCTCCCCACCAGACAGCTGCTAGTCTGCACCACACAGAGAAGAGCGGAGGGCTTTCGATGGAGAACGAGGTGGAGGGATGCGCCTCTCCATCCGCTGCCCGCGGGGAAAATAGCATGCTCGCCGCCCGTGGGGGGAACCGCATGCCCGAGATCCCCGACGCAGTGGACGAGATCGAGGTCCTCCACGCAGCGAAGCGCGACTTGGAGGAGCTGCGAAGGACTGCATGGCTGAATCAGCTGTAGATCGCGCATCTCCCGCACTCGCCGACGTGCTAGGAGGCCGCGCGTAGCAGCCTGCAGCCGCACCGCAACCGACACCTGGCGGGTAAGCATCTTCTCCGGCGACGTCATCGCGATGTCCATCGGCTGCTCGATCTGCTGCAACTTCTCGCCCGTGACTGGGATCTGCTGGGCGCCGGTTATGGAGACGACTGTCGTCCCATAGCCTGCCCAGCCGTAGTGCGAGGCGAGGAAGGCCCTGATGCCCGCCACGGCCTGCCCTAATTCCAGGATTGCGGCCGTCATCTGCTCCGGGGTGAGGACGAGGGCGGACGGCGCCGGGGCAGAGGGCGCAATCGCCCCTGAGGACGCCAGCGCGCCCAATGTCGATGCACCTGCTGTGTGGGGCAGCAGCGCTGACGAAGATGCTGGTGGCTGCGGGTGGGTGTGCGGCGGCGGCGGGTGGGAAAAATTCGGTAGAGGGCTGGACATGATCGAACCAGAGATCTCTGATACCAAATTGTTATGTGGTTGCTAGGATTGAGAGGGAGAGAGCTGAGGGAGAGAAGGCGACATACGTGCTACAGTACCCACGTGCTACAGTACCGAGGTGCTGTTCACGGCTGGGGCTGCGGAGGGTGCTGTTCACGGCTGGGGCTGCGAGGATGAGGTTGGAGGCCGGCCGGGGGCCTTGCCTACGGCCGAGCAAGAGGGAAGGGATTTTTTTCTTAATTCTTGCTTGATTAGATCGATACATCTCCTCTCCTTATATAGAGAGGTTTACTTGACTTCCAAATAAGGCTTACTTGACCCTTAAGTAAGCGACCCTTGTCTCTAATTAACCATAACACTAATGGGCTATACAGCCAACCCAGACCCAATAGGCCCCTGACGTACTCTAACCTAAAGAGTGAATAACTAACAAGCTAGCAGATTCATTCATACATACTTTACGATCGTTCGCTTGATCAGCATGTCCATTCTGTGCATAGTATGCCAAAATCAGGTTTCCAAGGAAGGCTCCAATGTCATAACCCATTGGCCCATAGAACCCAAACTCTGAATCAATGATTTGAGTTGAACCTGTGGTCACCATGATAGAAGCAGTGTGGAGATCTCCATGAATCAGAGCCTGAGCTCTCTCGATAAACCTGCGGTTGGAAATCGAATAAGTCGCATTTCCCATGATAGGTGGCAATTATTTCTACTCAGTTAGGTAACTATTACATCGATTTCAATTCAGCCGTTTCCAACTTGAGCTCATCATCCTCTCGAACTGCCTCAGCATCTTTGTCAAGATAAGGCGAGGTCCACCGATTAAATTTGGAGACGCGGTATGGATCCGAGAACACAACTTTCTCCGTGAGCCTACACATCTCCACGTTCGCAGAGTACTTAGCAACTGCAACCACAGCACAACCCATTGCATATCCGTCAAGTCAGTGCACGTGGAAACATGGAAACCAATTCAGAAAACATACTTTGACCATTTATTTATTTATTTGAAATTTGATATATCCATAGTGCATACTAATATATACTCACATGCAAAAGTTGAGATGCAAACTCAAACTAGGAAAATTCATACGAAAATGACAAATTTCAAAGACAAATTCTAGTGCACATGCATTTAAAATTTGTCATTTTCGTACGAACTTTTTAAAAGCGAGTTTGCATCTCAGCTTTTGCATGTGAGTACATATTTGTATGCACTATGGATGTCCTAAATTTCAGTTTTTTTTAACAACCAGAAATAAGGTTTTTGAATTGGTGGTTTGCACTAAATATTTCCCCCTTTACAGGCATGGCCACGTACCAACAAGTGGGAGCCAACGCAACTCGCGATTCAACGGCAATGAAGGGGCTCACCTCCTTTCTTATGATCCGTGCTGTTGTTATAGAGGAGGGAGGTGAAGAAGAGCGTCTTGGCCATGTAATCGGACATGTGGTCAGCGAGCAGCGGGTACTCGACGCCGGCGATGAGGCCCTTGCGGAGGATGATGTGCGGGGGCTCGATGTAGCGCATCCCCATCAGCGACATGGCTCGGTCGAAGTGGTACACCTCGGGGGTGTGCTCCGGGCACAGGCGGCCGTGCTCACGCAGCGTGGAGGCCTCGAAGTAGGCGCGCTCCCGCGTCATCGGCCAGGAGTCC